CATCTGTCATTTTCAATCAAAAGCTAGAAATAATTAAGCTTAGCGAGAAAAGTGTGTCAAAAACTGAGATAGCCTGAAAGCTAAGCCTCTTGCACCAAACAGCCAAGGGTGAATGCAAAGGAAAAGTTCTTGAAGAAAATTAAAAGTGCCACTTCAGTGAACACATGAATGATAAGAAAGTAAAATGGCCTTATTACCGATATGGAGAAAGCGTAAGTGCTCTGGGTAAAAGAACAAACCAGCCACAACATTCCCTTAAGCCAAAGCCCAATCCAGAGCAAGGCCCTATGTTCAATTCTATGAAGGCTAAGAAAGGTGAGGAAGCTGTGTAAGAAAAGTTTGAAGTTAGCGGAGGTTAGTTCATGAAGTTTAAGGAAAAGAGGCTGTCACCATAACATAATAGTGCAAGGTGAAGCAGCAAGTTATCTAGAAAATTTGGCTAGGATCATCAATGCAAAGGTGGCTACACGCAACAGCAGAGTTTCAACATAGTCGAAACAGCCTTCTATTGGAAGAAGATGACATCTAGGACTTTCATAGCTAGAGAGAAGTTAGTGCCTGACTTCAAAGAACAGGCTAACTCTCTTGTTAGGGGCTAATGAAGCTGGTGAATTTAAGCTGAAGAAAATGCTCATTGACCATTTTGAAAATCCTAAGGCTTTCAAGAATTATGCTAAATCTACTCTGCCTGTGTTCTATAAATGGAACAAAGCCTGGATGACAGTACATCTATTTACAGCATAGTTTACTGACTGTTTTAAGCCCACTGTTGAGACCTACTGCTCAGAAAAAAATATTTCTTTCAAAATATTACTGCTCATTGACAATGCATCCAGTCACCCAAGAACTCTGATGGAGATGTACAAGGAAATTAATGCTGTTTTCATGCCCGTAGACACAACATCCATTCCGCAGCCCATGGATCCAAGGAGTAATTTTGACTTTCAAGTCTTACTATTTAAGAAATACATTTCATAGGTTATCACTGCCAAAGATGGTTATTCCTCTGCTGGATCTGGGCAAAGTAAATTGAAAATCTTCTGGAAAGGATTCACCATTATAAATACTATAATGAACATTCATGATTCATGGAAGGAGGTCAAAATACCAACACTAATAGGAGTTGGGAAGAAGTTGATTTTAACCCTCATGGATGACTTTGAGCAGCTCAAGACTTTAGTGGAGGAAGTAATTACAGATTTGGTGGAAATAGCAGGAGAACCAGAATTAGAAGTGGAGCCTGTAGATGTGACCAAATTCCTGCAATCTCATGATAAAACTTGAATGGATGAGGAATTTCTTCTTATGGATGAGCAAAAGAAAATGATTTTTTGAGGTGGGATCTAGTCCTGGGGAAGATGCTGTGAACGTTGTTGACGTGACAACAAACGATTTAGAATGTTACATAAACTTAGTTGATAAAGCAGTGGTAGGGTTTGCGAGGATTGACTCCAGTTTCGAAAGAAGTTCTACTGTGGGTACAATTCTATCACACAGCATCGCATGTACAGAAAAATTCTTTGTGAAAGGAAGAGTCAACCAATGAGGCCAACTTCGTTGTTATCTTATTTTGAGAAATTGCCGCAGCCACCTCAGCCTTCAGCCACCACCACTCTGATCACTCAACAGCCACCATCACTGAGGCAAGACCCTCCATCAGCAAAAAGATTGTGCTGAAGGCTCAGATGATTATAGTTTTTAGCAATAAAGTATTTTTAAATTTAGGTTATTTACATTGTTTATTCAGACATAATGCCATTACACACTTAATAGAATATAGTAAAGTCTACAAATAACTATAAAAATTATTTCACAGAAAAATTCATGTGACTTGCTTTATTGTGATACTCACATTATTGTGACGCTTGGAACTGAACTCGAAGTATCTCTGGGTATGCCTGTATACCTATATATATATACACACATTTCCACGTAGACACTGTGGCATGAGTGTAACATAATAGCTGTTCACATATATGTGCATATCCAAAGGAAAGATAACCATGCTACTCTCATTATTATACATTCATGAATTTAGGAAATGAAAAATAATAATATTCTAATGCATGAATGTTTAAAAATTTTATGGAATAATCTAGATTTTAACTAATGAGTTTTAAATGTCCACATAATTTGTTATTAACAATTAGATGCCAGTAATGCAAAAGTGCCCAAAACATCTTTGCAGGTGTTTTGCCATCAATCCAATTTAGGAGGAGTTCTGTCTCTAGGATCAACATCCAGGTCATCTTTAAGACCTCCTACTACTTAACCTCTTTAATGATGCTTGTTAACACTTCATTCCTTGTCCCTTGCCTTTTCATGTACACATTTCTTCAAGACTGGAGTATGAAAAATTTCTCAACTTCCTGCCATCAATCTCTTTTCCCTCTACTTTGTTCTATCGCCTATCAGTTAAACCAGTTTTCTCTTCATTGCTTTAGCATGTTATACTCATGCTTTGATTCATTTCACCCTAACTGGAACATCTCTCCTCTCCTCTCACCTGCAAATCTTCAAGGTCAGGCTCACTCTTCACCTGCCTGGAATTTGTTCTCTCTTAGCTCCTGTAGCGCTCCCCGATGGTCAGTACTACTCAAATAAGCACTTAATTAGAAAAGGTAGCAATGAAGTAGAGACCAAGTTTTGTTTTGTTTTATTATTTTTGTCTCCCACAGCACCCAAGAAAGTTCTGTTCACATGGTAGATTTTAGACATGTAATTGATGTCTAAATTAATTTACAACAGGGAAAGTATATTATATAAAGTGGATTTTTCACTGAAGAGCACCACAACTTGTACACTTTTGCTTTAGTTAATTTTAAGATTATGTTCATTAAATGAGGAATACAAATGAATTACATAGTTTAAATTGTGAGTTCCAATAGGCATACCATTTTGCTATTTTAGCTGGTTTGCATGAATACAAATTCAGCTTTTTTTCATCCATAGTTACAAACCCAGTAAACAGTACCACTCTTCAATCAGTTGTTGAAGCGAAAAAGCTGGAAATGATCCTTGAGTCTCCTCTTACTCTCGTTTGTAACAGTCATTAAGTTTTACCAATTACACCCCTTAAATATCACTTGAATCCCCCTCCATTCTCCATCCTAATGTCACCACCCGAAGTCCAGACCATTATTCACTATTATACAGATTTCTGTATCTATTTACTAGTTGATTGCAGCTTCCAACCTGCAGCCCAAGGGATCTTACTCAACCAGTCTGTTTTCCACATTCGTGGTTTCCTTTATCTTATAGGATAAAGTTTATATTCTTTAATGTTGTTTATAAAAACATATGTAATCTGGCACCTGACTCCCTCTTCCCTCCCTGCACTCTGTACTTCTGCAATGGGCTATGACATAATACTTCCATGTGACTCTAAATCTTCATGAATATCTTTTCCCCACCTGGAACTCTCCTCCTTCCCTTCTTTGCCTGGCTAGCTTTCACTTAATTCACATTTCAGCTTAAACATGACTTTTTGCCGGAGGCAGTCTTTAACCTCTTGACTAGGTTTGGGGCACTCGCAGTATAGTCCATAGCCGTATGTACGTCCCTGTTTTAACTGTCAATATATTTTATAGTAATCATTTAATTATCTTTTTCTCCCACTACCCTATAAGTTCTGGGAAAGCCAGATCCACAGAGGTAGATCCAGGTATTTTGAAGCCTGAAACATACAATTTGGGAGACATTCTTTAGAATAAAAATACAAAAATTTTATACACATACGCTTAGATACAAAAGTGAATATTCATTTATAACAAGAGATCACAATAAAGTATAAACTTGAGAAAACTGACAAATATAAAAATATATGACAAATATAAAAATATACAGTAAACACACTACTAGGGTCCCTTCCCAGAAGCCAAAGCTTAAGCTTCCTTAAATTCCCAGGAAATCTACATCTGCAGCTTAGTCTTTTCAAAGTTCTGTTTCTAGTACCAAGAGCAGTGCTTAACACCCAGCAGGTACTCAATAAATATTTTTGAATGAGTATATTTTTGAGTTATTTTAAGTTATATTTTCATGCATGTAAATTTCAACAAGTTTTTCCTAAATTGGATTTCTGAAAAATATTTTATATATTATTAAATTGTTCTTATAGTTATTATTTTCAATTATTTGGTGCGGTCATATTTCACATGACAAATAATGTACATTACTAATTATGTTTGTTAGCATATCATTGAGCTTTATGCAAAATGTCTTCTGTATCTCCTTATTAAAATTAAACTCTTGATTTGCATCAAAAATATGTAGAATAATTTGTATGCACATATATATATTAATACGTTTGTGTGTGTCTGTGTTTTTATAGATCATATAATAATAAAACTTCACGATTAATTTTATTTTTTTAGATAAAATGCATTGGGGGAAGCCATCTATTTTCTGTTTTATTTATAATATACTTTTGTAAACATTTATCTCAGGAATAGTAAAGGTGACAGTATTTTACATAACTTAAAAAACAGAAAAAAAATTTACTATGATTTTGTCCACATGATATTACTTGAATCAAGACAATATCGTAGCTTAAATTTAAAAGATAAGCAACTTTGCTTAAATCTTTAGAGGTTAATTTGTTAATATAAAACTAAGTTTAGTTGAGTTCTGTTTATAATAAGATTGTAAATTTGCTGAGAAGTTGCTGTGCTCATATCAAGATTGTGTGTGTGTGTGTGTGTGTGTGTGTGTGTGAGTGCGTGCAGCCCTCTGATCAATGCGCACTTTTTCCCCCATTTTCATAAATACATCATGAAAAAAGGATGAGGTTTCCGCCTTAATTGCTTGTGCCTTTTATTCACATTCCTCTCTCAGCCAGAATTGTGAAAAGAGTGTTAGTAAAAGGCTGCACAATAGAGCTTTTCATTAGGCCTCAGCAAGGCACACAATAGAAGGCTTTTGGAAAGAGTGAATGCGTGAGTTTAATTTGCAGGTGGAGAGTAGATAAAAGGTGCTGACGCCTCTATTATTCTCTTACTTAGGTGACCCTTACCCTGTTCAGCTGATCCCAACTACCATGGCAGCTGCTGCCGCAGCAACACCAGGCTTAGGCCCACTCCAACTGCAGGTAAGTCAGGAAACAATACAGAGGAGACAAAGGTTAAGTAAATATCGAAAACAGCTATTATCGTGTTAAAGCAAAATAAGACTAACTAGTGATATTTGTCACACACTTTGTTGTTTTAAAATTTATTTGTACTGATCCTCAACCAAAAGTTGAGATTTGATTCTTTTAATTTTTAGCTCCGTTTTCTTGAGAGAGCTTATTGTAGCTTTTTTATTGCTTGATATGATTTGAAAAAGTGAGCTGTAGTTTTGCTTTGATTAGTATGTGCCATAATTTTGTCACAGGATGGTCCCCATCAAGAGAAAAAGAACAAAAAAACCTGCAAAGGGTATTGAAACAGACACTTGTGGACCAAGGCTACTTAATGAAAATGCCTTTAAAATTATTCAAGATACCCTGTATTATTGAAGCACTTTGTAAGTCCCTTTGTTCTCCTGCTAATGTCAACTCAGTTGGTCAAGCAAGGAAAAATAGACGAAATAAGTGGTGCTTACATGAGCTCAACTTTATCTCAGACATCCCAATTAAGTCCTTTTTAGCCCTGCAGAATGCATACAGATTCCCATATAGGAATGTCAATGATAACTTTATCAGATGTTCAAGTGATTTTAGAAATTTTGTCTCTGAGGTTGAAGAGAGAACCAATAAAATTATAGTAAAGGCCACTTTCATTAACTATTTAAATTTTTGAGTCAACATTCCACAAAATATTTCATAGTTTCTGTTGTTATGGGCCTTCTAATTATGTAATTAATAGGAATAGAAGATCATCTCGTAATAGGATTAATCTCCTCTTATGAGAATTTTTATATGTTCTTTAGCCTGAAAGACACAGTATGCCTGTGAAGCTAGATATAAAGCAGTTGCACTTAATAAAATTAAATTGTATTCATGAAAGCGCATTATCACAATAGATGATCTTAGTCTGTAAGGAAAATATAGATTTATATTGTAGCGTCGAGAGACAGATACATCTGGTCTGCACATGGGTTTGTCAGAAGACCTGGTGGGTTTCCGAAAGGCCAGTTGAGTTTCACAGGAGGAACTACCAGTGTGAAAGCTGAGACATACTGTGTTCTACAGAGGTTAATAACATTCATTTCTATTCTACCTTGTCTACGAAAAACTGCACTGTGAGTGTCTGTTTCTTTGAGCTGGAAATACGTTGGTGTTAGAGCCATGGGGACAGTAAAAGTAACATAACATTTGTTACCCTTTGAAATGACATCTGAGGAATAACTATAACATGGAAAAGTGATTATAATAGATAAAATTAAAAAGTGTAATGGAATTAAAGAAAGAAGAATATCCAGGAATAGATTTGAATGTGGGAATAGGAGTTTTAGAGATTTAGGATGTCAGTTTTCAAAGCAAGTTAGACATTCTCCTTTCACCATTGGATGAAGAGTGAGAGGAAGTGAGGGCAGTTGGAGGCAACTGCTATGTTTTATTGCAGGACTTTAGTAGAAAGCAGCTATGTTAAGGAACAATCTGAACTTCTCTTCCTGTAGAGATAATATGAGAATATTTGATATAAGTTAAGTTTTATTTCAATTCTTATGTTATCAGATTCTCTTAAGATTTCAAAATGTTAAAAAATAATTTTCTTTATCACTAAACAAGAAAAACTTTAGACACCAAACATTTGCTCTTATGTTAACTATAATCTGATCTGTACATGGGATAAAGTTCCTTTTATGTTAAGTGGTATTATACCCATTAAAATTCATGAGTTTTAGTTAGGGTCTTCTCAAATAATCAATGCTGTAGTATAACAAGAAAATTAATAATCCAAAACTTTTTTCATGGAAGGTCATCAGCTACTATTAAAACATATTCATATGAACACACAAACACACATATTTTTTGCATTGGGAAAAAAACAAGTTATTCAGATGCAAACACATTCCAAAAGCATGCCATGGAAGAGAATGTGACTTCTTTGAAGTAGACTGATGCTTACTTTGGCTAGGGTACCTACACTACCTCACTTTTCTCCTTGTTCCTAACACAATATTCACAGACCCCTGACCTTTACTTTAGCCTTCCCCAGAACTGCAAAGGATACTTGTTACTCTTCCTCCTCTGGCTTTAAATTAGCATCCAAATTCTTTCCTTCTCCACGAATCTGATGGGATTGGTCAGAGAAAGCTAACTCTTAATACAATGCCTAGTCAGAAGTCTTACCATAAGCCTTACCCCAAATTCACCCCAATCTTGTAAACCTCAAAGTAAAAACTTTGAGAAGTTTTGTCCTAGTAAAGTATAATGCATAAGCCAATTTTAATGTTCTCCACTCTGCTTTTCATTATACTCTATTAAATCTCTATTTTCCATCTCATAATAATACCTTGAGTAGATTTCATTGCTTTCTGATCCTTTCAGTTACTAAGATTCAGTCCTGCTGGAAACTTTAATTTTACATCTCACTTTTTCCCCTTCTGTCATTAGACAAGAATCTCAACTCTGGAGACCAGAAGTGAGGAAGGCTGCAGATTACTCTTTTGCTTTTTCAACTTCAACTTAGTACCTATGCAGATGTGGGTTGTGGAAGGCATGTCTGCTGCTGAGATACCTTGGAGATGGTGTGTGTATAGTTTTCTTGGTATTGAACAGCTTTTCGTGGTCTGCTAAGAGAAGGGTGGCCAGGTCTGTTGATCTGTGCTTCCAACTCTCTTTTTCGTTTTTTGACCTCACCACCCTTGGCCAGCTGCTGTCCGGGTAGCAAGATGCCTGCCTTCATTCATCCTCAGTGCTCCTCCATGGAGAACCCTGGGATCCTCTATGGATCCTCTATGGGATCCTCTTCTGTGCCCTGTAAGAGCTGTGGTACATCACAGTCCTGGTCTCAACCTGCAGCAAACCCCTGACCGTTCTCCCTCAACCCACCCCAGCTTTAGAAAACTCCAGAAGAGAAAACAGGCATTACTGCGTCTTTAGTTCTGTATACCACCAAGACATATAACTGTCAAGTTCTCTTAAGAACGTTCTCATCATACTGCTTGCGTTAGGCTTTAGGTTTTTAATTCAACAGCTAGTTGAGGAACAATATGAAGGTTTCTCCTTTTTTCTGGCTTCTCCTGTTTTTATGAATTCTGCCTCCTCACTTAGGTAGAGAGAGAAAAGCACTAAGAACCAAGTTCTTCTATAAAGCTATAAACCCAATCCTCTCTCTCCTAACCTTTCTCACCAGACATCAGTTCATATATACTGTGGGGTGAGGGGATTGGGTTGGGAGGACGAGAATAAAGTCAGACACAGCATGAATGTTTATTGAAGTAAGGCCAGGTCAGCCAGGTTTTAATAAGGGAACATGGTGGTATAGATGTTGTCTACTACCAGATACCAGTTGCTGGTATCTTTCTTTAGAACCATTGAAGAATTTGTTGTGGTTGGCTTGTTTGCTTATTTGTATTGTTTTCTGTTGTTTAATGTGTTCTTGTTTAAGTATGGAGTGATAAGCCCAGAGCTGCATTTCATAGGACAACAGTAAGAAAGATAGATTGAGGTAACAGCAGGAAGACCAGTTGGGGGAACAACTGAAGTAGCCTTGGCAAAGAAAAAGTGATGATCTGAATTAATCTTCATTCAGTGGTAGCGGGAATAGTGTGGAAGGGATATATATTTTATACAGAAACAGGATGCTGTTTCCTTTTCCTTGGGTTCAAACATAATAATTTTAACTCCTGTAAAATGCCATAACAACTGATGTCACTAGCTACTACCAGCCATGGTTCATGAAATGCTTTCTTAAGCTAGGTTCTCTGGTAAGCATTTTACAAGGATATCTTATTTACTTCTTATTGCAGCACTTTGTGTTATGTATGAATATCTCCATTGAGAAAGAAGAAAGCTGGGTCACAGAGTCTAAAATCCATGATCTTTAAACAATTATATTTGCTTCTCCAACTACAGGGGAGTTTATTTTAAACTTTGGAGAGATTGCCCCTCTTAACATTTGCTAACTCAGTAACCAGCTAATCAAATTATAACGATAATGCTGATTAATTGACACTAATACAAATACTCTATGTGCTTTGCAATAATGAAAGGGGTAGCAGGATTCATAATGACAGCTGTCTACTTCAGCCTCTGAATTTTCAATTTCATGCCTCTTTACACAGATATATGTTTATTCAAGTACTTCTTTTTGAACACCTAGTTCTAATAAGGGACACTATAAATATATTCCTACTCACAGTTGACTTTGTTTACCTACCATTTGTGTTTTCTTTTGAAATAGCCTTTTACATATAATTGTTCACACTTGGATAATATTATGATAAGCAAAACCAGAACTTTCATTAAAGAATGAATAGAGACAAGTACAAGTATTTTTAAAGACAAGCAAAATGACATGCTTTAAATAAAACCACTGTTTATTACTTAACTATTATTTTATGTCCCTGGAGATCCTTACTATATAATAAAAATTACTTCATATAAAAAAAACCTTACTGTATGTTTTTAGACACAGTTAAAATATTTTAAGCATTATCATACATTTATTTTTATTTTTCAAGGAGAAAAATTGAGTTAATATAGATTTTATATATATAAATAACACAAATTAACATGTTGTGCCAAGATACTATTTTATTTATTTCTTTTATATAAATCTGTCTTTGCCTTTTAAATCTTTCTTGAGCTCCAAATTCACATTAGCCAACTGCTGATTGGCTATTAAAAGGAAATATATATCTGTTTACAGACATTATAAACTGAGCCCCAAATGAAACTCACCAGTAGTTGTCTGCCATGCTGCCAGAGTTGCTCATTCTTTGGTCTTAGTCAGTGGCTCCATTTCATCTATTTCTCAACCCAGAAACGTGAGAGCCTTAGCTCCTTAGCTCCTCTTCCTCTTTCTTTCTCTACATCTATTCATTCACTGGCATTTAATCCCTACTAAATATTAATCTTTCAAGAATCCGTCCATTTCTTTCTATCATAACTGTCACTCTTTTGGGTTGAGCTACTCTTACCACTTTCCTAATTCACCA